AGACCAACTATTTGGTGGGGCAGTGTATAATTCTACGTCTTCAATTTCTTGTTTATAATAAAATATGGATTTGATATTGTCTTCTTTTTTTTTCTTCAAATAGACCTCGAGCACGCGATTTTCTCATCGTCCCGTAATATGACGAACACTGTGAATGGCCGGGTCTCATAAATGGCAATCACGAATTAATAGTTATTGGCCGATTGCCAAGCAACGCTCTTGAGGTAGAAATGTCCGTATCAATCAGCCTATTGTGTTTGACGTGATTCAAATATCGATAACTGTCGATACATATTTCGGTTATAGACCGTTTTCTAAGGTTGTGGAAGTTTTCAAAATTGGACATACTGTCTGAGACCTCGAGTGACGCAGCAAAAATAGCGGCGTCTATGAAATACTAAATCACTTCGGAAATGATCTACTAATTTAATATTAGCAAAAAAAAAAAAAAGGGTACCTAGATCGTGCTGACCAGAAAAAATGTTTCAAACGTTGTTACAGCGTAAGATTAGTAGAACGGGCATCAAGAGGGCAGCTATTATGCTTCTGAATCGCCTACCTCTGTCTTTTTGACAAATACTTTCATGGTAACTGCTCCAATAAGCTGCTTTCGCTGGTTCCCAGACTTTATGAATTCAACTAGGCTGGCATCTCGCTAACACCCTTTCACTGTCGAAACTGTTAAATATAGCTGTCTCTTCTACTCCAAGAGCTTCATGTCTCTCACCTCTCGTCTGCGTAACTCCCTCCTCTTTTCTTGTTTCTCTGATAGCTATAATCTCCAACTATTCAAATGTAATGTCAATCGACGTCTCCAGATGCCCTGATCTAATCCCTATCCTTCTCTTCATCCTTTCCTCTATCACTCCTCTTTGCTCTCGCTCCAACTCTCTGTAACCACTTGCGTGTTAATGGCTTCCCGCATTGCTTAGGGTGAAACACTCATGAAAAAAAAAAAAGAAAAAAAGAAGGTATATTCCCTTCTTATGGCGAGAACAGTAGCAGGACTAGTTATAGAGCAAAGGAAGTCTCACGCACATCACGTGAGCAGGAACGATCCTGCTGAAGAATAATATCGACTTCTTATTTGGGAGAATATTAGCAGGACGGGTTAAACAGCGTTCTGGGGGCGGAGCGTTGACTGTTGAAACCCCAATGGAGTCGAAAGTATGGTAACCATCAATAGAGGTTGGGCTTGCATTTTGCGTCTGTCTATATTTCTGAGATGAGGTATTATGTACACTATTTACATTATTTGGACTATTGTCCTCATCTTTCTGTCTATATTTCTGAGATGAGGTATTATGTACACTGTTTACATTATTCGGACTATTGTCCTCATCTTTCTGTCTATATTTCTGAGATGAGGTATTATGTACACTATTTACATTATTCGGACTATTGTCCTCATCTTTCTGTCTATATTTCTGAGATGAGGTATTATGTACATTATTTACATTATTCGGACTATTGTCCTCATCTTTCTGTCTATATTTCTGAGATGAGGTATTATGTACACTATTTACATTATTCGGACTATTGTCCTCATCTTTCTGTCTATATTTCTGAGATGAGGTATTATGTACACTATTTACATTATTCGGACTATTGTCCTCATCGTTCTGTCTATATTTCTGAGATGAGGTATTATGTACACTATTTACATTATTTGGACTATTGTCCTCATCTTTCTGTCTATATTTCTCAGATGAGGTATTATGTACACTATTTACATTATTCGACTATTGTCCTCATCTTTCTGTCTATATTTCTGAGATGAGGTATTATGTACACTATTTACATTATTTGGACTATTGTCCTCATCTTTCTGTCTGTATTTCTTAGATGAGGTATTATGTACACTATTTACATTATTCGGACTATTGTCCTCATCTTTCTGTCTATATTTCTGAGATGAGGTATTATGTACACTATTTACATTATTTGGACTATTGTCCTCATCTTTCTGTCTATATTTCTCAGATGAGGTATTATGTACACTATTTACATTATTCAGACTATTGTCCTCATCTTTCTGTCTATATTTCTGAGATGAGGTATTATGTACACTATTTACATTATTTGGACTATTGTCCTCATCTTTCTGTCTATATTTCTCAGATGAGGTATTATGTACACTATTTACATTATTCGGACTATTGTCCTCATCTTTCTGTCTATATTTCTGAGATGAGGTATTATGTACACTATTTACATTATTTGGACTATTGTCCTCATCTTTCTGTCTGTATTTCTTAGATGAGGTATTATGTACACTATTTACATTATTTGGACTATTGTCCTCATCTTTCTGTCTATATTTCTGAGATGAGGTATTATGTACACTATTTACATTATTCGGACTATTGTCCTCATCGTTCTGTCTATATTTCTGAGATGAGGTATTATGTACACTATTTACATTATTTGGACTATTGTCCTCATCTTTCTGTCTATATTTCTCAGATGAGGTATTATGTACACTATTTACATTATTCGGACTATTGTCCTCATCTTTCTGTCTATATTTCTGAGATGAGGTATTATGTACACTATTTACATTATTTGGACTATTGTCCTCATCTTTGTCGCTATATTTATCACAACGTTTCGGACACATGGTACAGTGGATAAAGGCGTTAGTTAGATCCAGTGACCGGACCCAAAGAGTGTGAGTTCAATACCTGGTTAAGGCGGTGGAGAACTTGAAGAGGGGAATTAAGCAGGAGGTAACTGATAACTGACATCCATTAAACATGACACGTGGAACTAGAACAGTCTACCCCAGTGAGCGAAATAAAAGGTTCAGTTCTAAATTCCAACTACCTGAAGAAGGGTCGAGCATACAACGGCCGAAACGTTGCAATAAATATTGCGACAAAGATTAGGACAATAGTTTGAATAATGTAAATACTGTATTTTGTGGGAAATTACTGTCTGGAACATGTAACTACACAGCACTAGGTCTGAAATGCAAAATCTGTCCTAATTACTGAACACTACGGGTTGCAATTCGATATCAGATGAGCACCATGTGAAACGAGGGTGGCATAAGTGAAAATCTCGCTGTGCAAACAAGTGTCTCTTTGGCCTGCAGCAAATAAACGTTTCCAATCGGTTCGTGTTGACACACACCATGTTCCGTGATTGCTCCTATCTGTGCTTTGGACACTGTGCCGTCCGTCTCAGCTGCTCATACTTTAAGTTTATCATTACAAGCACCTGGTCTATATGACCGTCCAGAACCTGATCTAAAGGTACAGGAATGATTATTTGACTATTTTTGTCAACAGTGGATCATTACTGTCACAACACCTAAAACATGCGCAGAAAATCTCCAAAGCAGTCATACTAAGTGCATTTTTATGATATTTTTCGTGAAACAACTTTGAAGCAACATTGTATAATGTGTTTACAAGCTATAAAAACTTATGTCCATATATATATATATATATATATATATATATATATATATATATATATATGTGTGTGTGTGTGTGTGTGTGTGTGTGTGTGTGTGTGTGTGTGTGTGCTCTGCGTTTACGTGTGTTTAATTACTTATGTTAAATAGTCATATATATATATCCAGAAATTTGATGAAATATTACATTACTTCGACTTACTCTCCCTCACTCGCTTTCCATACGCACACACACACACAAACACACACGCATACACACATGGAGAGCAACATATCGAACCCTTTCTTAAACGACTCCAATTGAAGAAAACATCTCTGTGTGTCTGTCTATATCTGTGAAATGAGGTATTATGATTACTTATATTATTTACATTATTCGGACTGTTATCCTCATCTTTATTACCACATTCACGACGTTTCGGCCGTTGTACGCTACGGACTTCTATCAAAGTGATGTGAGTTCAATACCAGCCCACAGCAGTGGTGAACGAAACTTGGAGAATTGAGTTAAAGGGGAATAACTGAGACATCCGGAAGAGGCATGGCACATGAAACTAGAACAATCTACCTCGGTGGTCGAAATAAAGGGTTCGTTTCGAAATTTCAATCACCTGAAGAATGCCGGAGCGTACAAAGGCCGAAACTTTGTGAATATGTCAATGAAGATGAGGATAACAGTCCGATTATTGTAAATAATGTAAGTAATCTTCGTCTGTCGAAGTGCCATGATAGCTGCTTGCACTAGATTCTTTAATGACACTGAACACACACAAACGGGTGTACATGTGTATGTGTGTGTTTGTGTGTGTGTGTGTGTCTGTGTGCAAAAGAGACTGCTAAAATGTCATCGACTTAATCCATTTCACAAAACGTGTTATTTAATGTTTTGTTACTGAAATATGTTTCGTCTTATATTTGGGACTCATCAGCTGGGCGCATCAGCTCCCGAGAATTGAAACCCGAACAGTTACGTTATCAGGCAAACGTCATAACAACAGTTCCAACGGGCACCGGTGGCGAGGAGGTAGCGAATCAGACTCGATATTGCGCCGCTCGATCACGTATTCCGCGGTGGAACTCATCCAAATCTCTTTTACCCATAGGACTGTGCCTCCACGAACCGCGACTACTATCACCAAGCCGCTCAATCCAGAGCATTAGAAGTCGGTTCAAGCAAGGATATACAAGTGATAGAAATTAGGAGGATTTGAGATAATTATAATTAAGTAATTCATCGAGTCTAGAAGAAACCTCAACAGAAAGCACTGGACGGCCGTTTCGTCTTATATTTGGGACTCATCAGCAGTGCGCATCAACTACTGAGAATTGAAATCCGGACAGTTAAGTTATCGAGCAAACGTCATACCAACTGTACCGACGGGCCTCGGTGACAAAGAGGTAGTGAATTAGACTCGATATAGCTCCGCTCGATCGTATATTCCGTGGTGGAACTCATTCGAGTTTCTTTTACCCACACGACTACCATCCCCAAGCCGCTCCATCCAGAGCATTAGAAGCCGGTTCAAGGAAAGATAGACAAGGGATTAGGAGTATTTGAGATAATTATAATTAAGTAATT